ATGAATGAGGGAGGGAATGCATGAATGAGCCAGTGGGGGACTGAAGGAGCCAGCAGTGAATGACTGAATGAATGAGTGAGCCATTGAATGAATGAATGAGGGAGGGAATGCATGAATGAATGAGGGAGGGAATGCATGAATGAGCCAGTGGGGGACTGAAGGAGCCAGCAGTGGATGACTGAATGACTGAATGAGCAAGTGTGTGAATGAGTGAGTGAGTGGACTCTTTGTTGCCAGAGGCGGGGGGGCGGCAGCAGGAAGGGCAGGCCCCGCCCACTCACTTGAGGGTCTCCAGGGCCTTCAGCTGAGGGAAGGTGGCTGAGAGCTTCGCGACCCCCTCGTCCCCAATCTTGTTCTCGCTCAGCGAGTCCAGGCTGTGTGGAATCAGAAGGGACTGTCGGCCAGTCTGGAGAGCAGCTGGCCTCCTCCCGCCCGTACCTCCCCTCCCACCCCCCAGCCTGGGGGCACCGAGGGCCAATGGCCCCCTTCTGGGCTGAGAGTGGACTTCAGGACCTGGGCCAGGGGATCTGGGCCGGGGACGAGGTCTAGCTCCTGGCACGCAGAATCCCTGGTTGGCTTCTTGGGCGGGCGCCGGGGAGCCTGGGCCCCCCCTTAGCCTCTTGGAATTTCATTATGAGGAGGGGTCAGCCCTCCCACCGCCGCCGGAAGCCACTGCTCTGAGCAGCAAATGGGGACTTCCAAAGGTCCCAGGAGGGTTGTTTTTAATTCTCCTCTGTTGCCGCTCTGCAGGGGTGTCACCTGGTCATCACAGGAGCCACGCCAGGAGAGCAGGCAGGGAGGTGGGCAGGCACAGAGGACGCTCTTTCGGGCACGCGCCTGGGGCGGGGGCAGGGCTGCCAGGACCCAGGTAGGGGCCGACGTTACTCACTCCAGGTGCTGAAGGGACGAAAAGGCGGGGAGAATCTTGGCCAGTCTGGGGAAAGCCTGGGGACCCCAGCTGGGGCCCAACCTAGGAGGCAAGGAGCAAGTCAGACCCCACCAGCCGGCCTCCTGTCCAGCCTCAGGGTGGGGCCCAGTCCCATGCCCCGTCCTGCATTCCCAGACGCTCACCGGCCCCAGCCCTGCCCGGCCCCAGCCCTGCCCGGCCCACCCTCCTTCCGCTCTAGCCCAGCGACATGGCCCCCAAATGCCAGCCCAGGACCTCCAGTGACAAGAGGGCTTACTTCTCTTTCCATTTGAAATAATAAAACAAACAAAAAAAAAAAGGAGCATTTTTGAGCGCTTATTATATGCTAGGCACATGCTGGGTCCTTTCATTGGCTTAGAAGTCATTTATCTTCATGACTCTGAGCTAAGTGCTCTTCTTTGTCCCCTTTTATAGATGGGGAAATTGAGGCACAGAGAGGCCAAGTAACTCACACAAGGTCACACAGTCTGGATTGACATTTAGACCAGACATTAAGGGAATAAAAAATAAGGACAATGAAGGGCTGTTTTGTTTTTAAAATCTGACTAAATGTATTCAATAGGAAGAGCAGTCTTTTATTCTGAAATTACATCTTTTGAGCTTTTTAATATGAAAATATTATTATTTTAATAGTATTTGATAAAATTATGGTGCCACCAGTTGTTATTTTGTTTGAATGAATGGAGTTGGTGAAAATTAAGAGAGAGTAATTCATTCTGGAATGTTCTCAGTCTGTAAAGTCCCAAACTCTGGGAATGTGGAGCCTCAGGAAAAGGCCACAGGACGGACCAGAGCTTGGCTCCAAGGTCTGTGCCCAGCCTGTGCCAGGCGCCGTGGTAAACGCCTTGACTGTCCAGTCTGTCTCCTTGAAAACTCAGCAATGCTCTCAAGAGGCTGTCTAAAGGAGACCATCCCCCGTGTTCACTCCATGAGCCAGGCCCAGGAGACAGCCATCGGCACACCCACAGGAGCCTGGCACAGGGCACACGCCTGCCTGCCGTCCCAGAGGCTCGGGAGGCTGAGGCAGGAGGACTGCGAGTTCGAGGCCAGCCTCAGCAACTTAGTGAGACCCTGTCTCAAAATAAAAAGGGCTGGGATGTTGCTCAGTGATAAAGCCCTCCTGGGCTCATCCCCAGTACCCCCACATATAAAGGGGGGCAGGAGATGAAATGATGGTAAACAGGATACTGGGGGCTGAGTCCAGGAAAGACCCTGACCACAAGGGCTGACCTGATGGGTACAGTGGAAGCCAGAGAGATGCCCAAAATAGTCCCTCCCTTCCGTCCTTCCTTCCCCAGAGCCTCTCTGAGGCTGCAGCCTCCAGGTGGCTGTCCACCGGCTCTAGGCTGTTCCACCCCAGGGCCGCTGTTCCCCAGAGCGCAGTTCCGACCTTGAACTAGGGGATTTTTAAGCTGAAAATAATCTGACGCCAGAAAGGGCCGCCAGCGCCCGTCCTCAGCCGTTTCCTCTTTTCAGCCCAGTGTTTACCCTGCACGAATGTGGCGCCCGTCTTGTGCTCCCAAGGCACCTGCTTTCCTGGGGTGTGCGGGGCAGCGGTAAAGGAGGTGCCAAGAGCTCCCTGGTGACCAGTGGAGGGACCGTGGGGAAGTCCCTGGACCTCGCTGGACCTCAGTGTCCTCGTCTGTCCAACGGGGAGATGTGACAATGCCCGGGAGGGGTCACATGGGGCAATGGAGGGTGCCCTCGAGTCTGAAGGGCTCCTTCCTGCAGGCGCGCCTGGACAGGGGGCCACCACAGGACCCGCAAGCCGGTGGGCTGCCCGCTGCAGTGTCCTGGAGCCCACCGACACCTGGCAGCACTGCCCAGAGTGGTGCACCCAGGGTGGTCACCTGGCCCAGAGTGCCTGAGACCCAGGGGTTCCCAGGACAGGACACTCGCTGTGCTGCAACCAGGCCGGTCCCACGCACGCTGGGAGGTCCCTGACCCCAGCTACAGAGCTAGGGCTCCCGGGAGCCGGGCCTGGGACCCAGCCACTCTGGTGGCTGAGGCAGGAGGGTCTCGAGGTCAAGGTCAGACAGGGCAACTTAGTGAGAGGAGACCCGTCACAAGATGAAGAAATAACCAGAGCTACGACGAAGCTCCGTGGTGAAGAAATAACCAGAGCTACGGACCAAGCTCCGTGGTCGGCAGAGCGCCCTCGGGTCCGGTCCCTAACACCCTGCACACGTGCGCACACACCCTGCTCCCCGAGTCCTTGGAACTGGAGGACAGTCCCTGGGTGGAGGGTCAGACCGTCCACACGTTCGCGACCACCAGTGGTTCCCATTAGCAGCTGAGAACCAGCCGGGGATGGGACGGACCCCGGGGCCTCCGCGGGGAGGCACTGTGCGCTTGGCGCCAGATATCCCTCCTCCACAAGTGCCCTGGACCTCCAGCCCTCTGGGGCGGCCACCTTGGCCTCTCCCCTGCGGGGCGGTGAGCGGAGCGACCTCGTTCTCCAGCAAATGGGCCGTCAGCTTCTAGGGTGAGGCTCTGCAGCACCTGCCCAGACCAGGCGCACCCGCTGCGGAAACCGGTGTCCCCGGTGGTGGGCCAGCGGGCAGCGTGGTCCTGCTGAGGAGGGGACGCGGCTCCCCGACGGCCTGCCCTGGCACTTACGCAAACTCCAGCTTCTTCAGGTGGCGGACAGCAGGCAGGGCCCCCCGGGCCTCTTCAGAGCAACTCCTCAACCTGGGGAAGCGGCGGGGTCAGGGGGAGGGCCTCTGTGCTGAGCCCCTGCCCGGGTGCCCCTCTCCCGGGAGGATCGCCTTCCTTGGGGCCCTGTGGCCCTCCGTTAGGAAGACAAACACCAGGACCCTGCACTTCATGGGCACTTCCCAGCGCCTGGCCCCGGCGGCACACAGCAGGTGCTCAAACATGGCACAGTGTTGTGTGGTCAGCTTCCTTTGCCCTCTGACCTCGGCTCTGCCATCTTTAAAGGCCACGCTGCAGGCCCCGGGGTTAAGCTGCCGTTTCCGAGGCAGAAGGCCCCCTGTTCCCTCTTGGCCTTAGCCGAAGAAGAACGTGGCACCGATGGCGCGCGCTGAATCAAGCAGAATGTGAGATGGGGGCCCCTGCTGGGTGGCCACTGCCCGGGAGAGGGCACAGGGTGTCTCACAGAGCAGAGGCACTGGCCATCCCATGATGAGCTCCAAGGGTCCCACCGGCCTCCCCTGCAGGCCTCCCCGCCCAGCCCTCACCTCTGGGCCTGCACCAGGCTCTCCAGATCCTCCACGTCCTTCAGGGACTTGGCCTTAAATGGCTCGATGGTGAACTTGTCCTCCGCGGCCTGGAGTAGCCGGGTCTCCCCACGCTGCTGCAGGGACTCCCACAGCCCCATGGTGTCACTCAGGGCGGCCCTGTGGAGGGAGGGCCTCAGACCCAGGCACAGTGACCAGGCTAGACCAGGACGGAGGGGCAGCTCTAGGGAAGGACCGGCCTCCCTTTCCTGCCTTGACTTGACTTCCCCACTCCAGACATGGCCATCCAGCCTCAACGAGTCCTCCTTTCTCAGGACTCAGCGGTTTTGTCTCCTTTTGCTTTGGCTACTAGGAAGCTCGGTGTCGAGTCTGGGCACAACTGGGTCGGATTCACGGTTTGGGAAAGTATGTTTAGAGGGAATCTGGCAACGATTCGGGAGATGAAGATGAAGGCTCAGATTGTAGGGGGCCTGGGACGAGCCAAATGAAAGAATGTGGGCTTCATCCTGAGGGCGACGGGATGCCCTGAGGGTGGTACGCAGAGGCGGGATGCGAGCGGGGCAAGATCCGGGAAGGCTGTTCTGGTGGCTGGAAGTACGCGGAGCACAAGAGGATATGATGGAGGCATCGAGGCCAAGGGGAGGCTGGGCCTCTATGCGTGAGAAACAGGGGCTCCATCAGGGGATGGAGGAAGGAAAATCAATTTGATCCCAGGTCAGTCCTAGAGTCTAGCGGGTCCGGCCCCTGCGCTCAGGGGCCTTCTGCTATTGGTCGGGAGCGTGACTCCGCCCCCCACTGGCCGCCAGGGTGTGAGCCCCGCCCTCCCGTCTCCGGCTCCACCCTCACCAGGCCCCCAGCTGCAGGGAGCCCCTTCCCCGTCCCCTGCCCCCCACCTGAAGCGGGTGACCGAGGCGAGTCCCACGAGGCTCTCCAGGCCGGAGGGGTCGATGCCCGTGCTGCGCAGGTCCAGAGAGAAGTCCTTGCCGGCCGCCCTCAGGGCCTGGCCCAGCACGAAGGCGTCGGC